AAAGACCAATTTTTCCAACTAGGCCAAGCACAGCCTAAAATAAACTTACAAACTCTTCAGAAAAACTCACTCGTATGTTGAGTAGGTTCATTAAATGCGATGGAATTCTTCCACGAATTGCAAAGAGAAGCTATATACTAGCGTGATATGGACAAAGAGACTATTAAATTCAGAACACTTACATAATTTATGCTGAATCAAGGAAACTATATCAATTATGGAAATGAATGGGGGGGGGTGAAGTGAAAAAGCAGATTTTGATAAAAGCTTCACAGAAAAAATAGCCTCAATATTATCTGCGGAGATTCTAGGCATTCTGAGTGGGAATAAATCCACTACAGACTCCAAATCAGTAAACTACCGGAACAAGTAAGAGTATCTAAGATCAGGCAGAATGCAACCAGGTTAAGAGGAAGTGTCACATTGTCAACTACAATCATGGTTTCTAGCAGACATATTTCTGCACATACCTTACTACAAGTCAGTTTAAAAAAACAAGAAAAATGTTCAAAACTGTATACAAAGTTTTGGTTGGTTGGTTGGTTTGAGGTTGGTTTGTTTGTTTGTTTACAAGCCAATAAGATATTAAAAAGATATCAGGGATTTTAACATACACAGGTTAGGGAAAGGCCAGAATGAAGACTGTACTTAACTAAGTAAAACTAACATTGCATAGGGAAAGTCATAATACTAATCTTTAAAAACTGCAGATTTTCCCTCACCTGAAGGATCCCCCAATGATTTTATGTGTAAAGTCATCTGAACTTTCAATATCATCAATATATCAAACCAAGTTTGCTGTATATTGACTTCAGTTGCTGCTTGCCAACAGCAAAAAAAAAATCCCATTTGCAAGACAGCTCTAAAGAAGCTTGGCATAAGTTATCTGCTTAGCATCATGTAAAAACTTTGTGGGAATCCAAAAAGTGGATCCATTCCTTAGCACAGTATCAGTCATCATATCCTCAAGAAAATTTCCCAACTTCTGGGCGAACAAAAAAAAAGGAAGACAAAAAAAAGAAAAGACTTCCTATAAAAGACATACTTTCTACATAATCCTAATTAATTTTCTCATCACGTTCTTTTCCACTTATTGAAAAAGAAACCCAAAAGATTGAAAATTTAACTGAAAATTTAAGTCCCTTTTGCAAAACTCAGGTGAACCAGAACCTCTCCAAAATGTTCGTATGCAGTTGTGGGAACAACAACAGTTCAGAGGTACTAAGCAGAGAAATTCTACATTCCTACACATTGTTGTTCTCTGTGGAGATTTATCAGCCTGTTTTCATCATGGGGTGAAAACAAAACAAAACAAAACAAACATTTCCTAAACATATCCCCAGTGTTATTCTGTAATAGCACAACATCGTTCTTAAAACATTTCAGAAAATTTCCCAGGGAGGTCAAGGTTGGCCATACCAGATGTCAACAGGCAAAAAAGGTTTTTTTGTGATGGAAAGCATTAATTAATCTTGAGTACAGTTGGCGGATCAGACTTAACATTGAGCATCACCGCATAAGTTTCCTATAGCAGCAGTGAAACATACAGACACAGCCTTTCCGGTGGGAGAGACACCATACTACAAAATTAGATGTTTCAAAATTAACTGGAGGCAGCAGCTGCCTGCAGTTCTAAATGCCTGTGCTGAGACATTGCAAGGGTGAATTCTCCCTGCACCAACCCTTTTTCTCAACTATGAAGACCTACCTAAAATAAAGTTGGCAACATGAAAGGTACTGGCTTTCAAAAAAACACACTCAGCTCATCTAACTGGTACTCAAAAACTAAGACAGCAGCAACAAAACAGAACACTTATCTGAAGAGCTTTAGTATTGAATAACACAGCTCTCACTTCAAAGAAAAAGTTACATACATAAGCATGTGCATGTGTGTGTGTGTGTATATACACACACACCCCTCATATTTGTCACTTTTACAGCCAGGTTTACTCTAGTCATTTTCATAAGTTTATTTTCATTACAACATTCACTGTCCCCTATTGCTATAGCCACTCGCCAAATTTTGGTTTAGTTTTTTGTTTGGTTTTGGTTTTGGTTTTTTTTGCAGGGGCAGGCGGAGAAATAAGGTTCATTGTTGGTTTGGTTTGTTTTACCACCAAGTCTAGTGAAGTTAACAGCACCTTTGCTTCCTCACTGGTGGAAATTTAGGACATGCTTTAGACTATATTATAGCTTATAGCTATATAGCTTACATTCCTGAACTGCTTGCTGCGCAGTTTTATTATTTTTCCATATACATTAGTGCTTAAAATTCTACATTTAAGTAGCATTTAAGTCTACGTATGTTGCAGACACGCAATGTGCTTATTCCCTAGTCATTCAAAGAAACATTGAACATTCTGCAACACCAAAATGCTGATGCAATACTATATTGTTGGGGAAAAAAAAAATTCAAATGTTTAAAAGGAGTGCAATTTTAAATGAGCATAATTCAAAGACTGCTTCAGGCAGAAAACTTACCATCTCCAGCAGGCAGGCCTCGTTCTTTTTTCTCATCACATTTGTTGCATTCACTGAAGTACAGCAATAGAAACATATCCAGAAGGACCCAAACCAAAGAGGTGGCAAGGACCACCTTGCAATATGCAAATTTTTTCATGGCACTTTAAGTCAAATACAAAAATAAAAAAGTATAAATAAAAATATCAACAGGTTGCTTTAATCCAGTTTTAGAGACCACGTTCTATATCTGGGAAAAAAAAAAAGAAAAAGAAAAAAGTCACAAAAAGTTACCTGAGGACAGCAGCTAAAAGCAGAAATTTTAACTACATTTTAACAGTAACAATTTAATTACCAAATGCTGTATGTATCAAAATGAATTCTCTATGCACTCCAATGAGATTAAGGGAACAGGGTCAATTAAAGCGGCATTACTCCAGTCCTTTACTATGTTAACATTCATCACCTGAAACATTAAAACAAGTGACCAAAACAGAGTGCTCGGCTGAGCCACTGGAGAAGAGGGTAGACACATCTAATGAAATTAAAAGGAATTCTCTGGATCCTCTGGAAATCAGAACAAGCTAAATGAATGAAAACTAGGAACATCTCAGGAAGCAGGGTATCAATCTATGCTGCGGGAAGTATGTGGCTAATATTCCTCATGCTCCTCACGTGTAGTACACTTCTGGGCCCATCACTAGCAATGCTAGTCTAAAAATGCCTGTATTTTACATAAAGTCTAATGGCACTTTACATCTTCATCACAAAGACAAATGCTTTGCTTTCAGCAAACCAAAAATAAACATCCCTTTTGGTAAAGTTAAACAGTAGGCAAAGTGAAGAAAGCACCCACAAGCCACTACGATCACTTACTAAGCATTCAAAGCTAAAGGTATAACTAATCATTTTGATGCTTAAAGTGACTTTAATAGTTTAATGCTTGATTTATAGAGCAAACTTTTATACCTTTTTCAACATGTATACATTAAAGTTTTAGAATGCCAATCCGAAATTCTCTTTTGTCCTACTCAAATTACAAGCAAATTTTGTTACAAGGACTGCTTATTTCCTTGAGTGACAATTGGGTAAGGCAGAATCAAGAACAGCTTTGAGCTTGTTCACTTACACTAAAAGATGATTTTTTTAATTATTTTTTTTTTTTTTACCAACAGGTTCCCCACCAGTGCTGACATGTTTCAACACAAAATACTCCCAAAGTATTTCCCAGTGGAAATAGCTTACTAGTTAAAACCAGAATTGCAGATATTCTCAACTTATAAAATAAATGGGAAATAAGACCCTTCAACACACCAGAATTTTAAAATTTACATATACACAGTTTCTCTTACAGCCTAAACTGAAAAACTTATTGGAAAGGAGAATTTTAGTTGTAAGCCATGATTATGCAAAAACCTCACAAAAAAACCCTGTATCATTAAAACTACCCTTCCTTTAGTATTTCATCGTCATAATTTGATTCCTGCCTTCCCCCCCCAGCTTCCTGAGGGAAAATGCTATGACATCCCTCTTCTAAATACAGCTTATTTCTTCTTATTAGCACAGAGACATGCATGTCTCCATGCATCCCTATACAATTAAGTGGCATTGGTTTGGATGGTATAGCAACATAGGAGCCTGTAGCCTTCTTGTACAAGACTAGAAGAGTGTATATCCTCCTATGCTTCCTGCACAGGTGCACATCAAATGCCAAGAAAGAGTTTTGTTTGGGATAATCTCAGTTTGCATCTGTGTAGTTTCGCTATACAGGGATGACTATATAAAATGAAGAACTGCAAAAGTATCTGTAATTAACAACTTGATGTTAAAATAGCAGATGAAATTACTACAACAAAACATTAAGTGAGATACGTTAAGAAAAAATCGTAGGGGTTGGTTGTTTGGGTTTTTCGGGGGTTTTTTTGTTTTATTTTGTTTTTTTAAATAGACACAAGGATGGGCCTGAACTCTGGATCTTGGAGTTGCACTATAAAGCCATCAGCTTGGTGACCAGCAGCAGTGAAAGAAAAATAATTTGTTACAGACTACTAAGAGAAGAACAGAAACCAAACCATCACTATGCCATTACACAGTATCTGCTTTCTCGAGTGCTGTATGAACATCCAGTCTTGTCATTTCAAAAAGGATATAGAAGGATTAGAAAGGACAAGCGAGAAGGGCAAAAGGATGAAGACAACAATTAGTAGCTTCATTATAAGATGTAAGTGAAGAAAGTAGCATTCTTCCTGGCTGGAAAAGATGTAACCTAAACCAAGTGGCAGGTCTATAAAATCAAAAGCTGCATGGAGATGGTAAATAGAGAACAACTGTTGCCTGTTACTCCTACATCTTGTATTGGCAGAAATCAAGTGAATTTAGCAGCAAGAGGTTAAAAAACAAAAGGAAGGTATTCCCCACAATGTGTAGTTATGCAGGGGAACTGCCTGCCACAGTACACTGCCAGTGCTGCAAGTCTATTCATCAGCTATTGAATACCAAGTCCTCACCCCTACTTCAGGCAGTCCCTGACTGCAACCCTCAAGTCACTGCATGCTAGGAGAATACAGGGAGGAAGTATCATTACAATTTCCCCTGTTCTCTTCCCTAGATATACGCTATCAATCACTGGCAGAAACAAATACTGTATACAGACAAAATCTGTCTGACATGGTACGACTGTACTTAAACTCTCCATACAATAGGTTTCTTCTTTTGCTCTAATTCGGGACACCATAGAACCGATCTGGCAAAGAATCAAGTCATACCACCACCCTGCTTGTACTTAAAGAAACAAATGCTCGTTAAAAATAGCATGTTTTAAAAGAAAACTAAATAAATTCTTACAATTTCAGACTTCTTGAAGTTCAGACTCGTGAGATATTAGGCTATAAAAGAACGTGTAAAACACACAGGAGCACAGTGCTTAAGGGTCCTCAAATTAGCAAGACACCAGGAGGAGAACTGTTATCTAGACTTTCTGTCCATAAAAATACCAAAAATACCAATATCAAGTGTTTTAAAATGCATAGGCTGGCACTATATCTGCTTCTAATGCAAGAAAATTCCTTTGAGAGTTCAGCGAAATGTCAAAAAGACACTGTGAACCCTTTGAATCCTTCGAGGGTTCAGGGAAGTGATCAAGAGACAGCAATGCCAAGTTCAACACTCACCAGGTACCATCAATAAGGCCCTTCCCTGTACCCTTAGACAAAGGCTCTCACTCCCTTGGGCAGTTTACCATCTCATGAATTAAAACCAGTGGTAAAAATACAGTGTATGACAGCACTTCCACTGTCTGCTTACCAGCAGAATTCAGGCAGCACAGCAGTGAAGCAGAGGGGCCCAGAAACTGTGCTAAAGCAATTGCTTTTAGCATACCAGAGCCTTGACCCAGACAGACCTCTGGGAGAGGATTCCACCATCCAGGGCTTGGGTTGTAAGAAATGCTAGGTACCTCTCTCTGGTGCTGGAGCCGTGGTGGTGGCATCACCCATGGGAGGGGTGCTCTGCCTGAGATGCTGCTTCTTCAGTGGAAGGAGCTACAGTACAAAGTGGGCAGACTGGTACACCGTGAGCAAGGGTGACCAGTAAGCAGACAGGTCTTCACAGAGACCTTGCAGAGCCACATGTCTGAGCCCCATGACACAAGGAAGAAGGGACAGCTAGAATCCCAGGATGGGGGCTGATCAAGGGACAAATCCAGGAAATTAGTGACTTGTGGCAACAGAAGGAAAGCCTGCAGATATGCATTTCCAGAACAGTTATACTGCCTGGGATGCTGTTGAAAGACTGATGAGTCTGCCCGCGTTCAGCTCTTAGACAACCACCCCTTGGCTATTCATTCATGTATGAATCAATGATACTGCCAGGTGTGAACCTGAGCATATGAGCAGTGACTGCAGAGCTCGGGGGGGTAGAGTACAGCAGGCATGGGACCCAGATACTGCTCTCCTCAATTGCTCCAGTGGGAGGGCAAGACTCAGGCAGGAAAGCAC